TCGGGTTTGACCCGTCACCTTTGACCCCAACCCGTAGGTCAAGACCCGAACCGCGAGACCCCGACCCGACTGTAAGCGATGGCACGGACCCGGGGTATATAACTTATCAGTGGGAATACGCCGCGTTACATATACTGGGACCGCAATGTCCATAATTATCTCCCGAGAGGAACATAGTCCAAACGGTATCCTCCAAAACATCACCGATTTAGATAATACATAAATATATCTCTCATGCATGCAACAATTCTACTACTTCTCAATGCATCAAAGAATGATATACCACATGCTTATGGTTTTTGAAAGTATTCTTGGACTCACGTTGGCCCTTTATGCATTTTTGAAATATGACTTGTGTGAAATGTCAAAGTGCTCTATAATATGCTTCTAATTCATGTATAAACTAACATGAAGTATTCAAGAATATATCATCATGCTCGGTTTGCAACATAGCAATTTCTATACATTTCACTCAACAAATATGATTCTATTCTCATTGATCAAATAATACAATTTAATCATACTTTCATAATAAATCATATTCTCAAAGGATCATGCTTCTATATTCAATAAAAATCTTATCTGATCATAAAATCAACAAATTTCTCAAACACAGGGAACTTAGCAAAATATGCATTGTGTAACAATTCTTCACATAATCATTCATAACATATTTGTTTTTAATCAGAATTCAACGAAATCAAAGCCAAAACGTGCGTCGAGACGATCCCGAAGAGTCGAGCCACAAGGGCCCATAACACTCGGTCCAAAACGACACGTAGCTGAGCCACAAGGGTCTGTCCACTGCACAAAATCCTTCTCAGACAATACTCAGGGACCTGGGGCGGGACTCTTCATAGTCCGCCCCTGGAGTCCCGTTGATGCGCCGGGACTAGGCAACGGCCCTCCTCTAGGGCCGTGCTCTAGTCTCGTGCCACCACGGCTCTAGCCGGCGGCCCTTCTGATGGGCCGCGGCTAGGGCCGTCACTTTGATCTGGTGCACACTGTGTTGTGCACCAGATGAGATTTTACCTGCAAAACTCAACCAAACAATTCCAAAACAATCTCAACAACTCACAAACGCATACTAGATCACTTCTAAGCATAAACAAATCAAAAGTTCATAGTTTCTACTCATTTCTACTCAAAACTAGGCTTCACAAAGCCAAATCTAAAGAGGAATCCATGGGGTTATACCTCTTGTAGTCTAGTCTTCTTGCTTGGATCTCTTCTTCCTCTTGACCTAGCTTGAGCCTCCTTCACTACCTACACTTCCCAATACACCTTCTATCCTTAGCATAGAACCTCAAAGACTAAAGAAAACTAGAGGAGAAAAGATGCTAGAATGAAGGATGAACAAGCTTACTAGGTTGTTGTCTTTCTTCTTGTTGTTGGCAGCTAAAAATATGAGGAAGAGGCAAAGAATGAGATCAGGAAAATGAGATGGAATGAGGGGGTTTATATATGGTTCAAAATCCTAGGATGATTCACAATGATTGGTTGAGTGCAAAAGGGTAATTTCCCAAAAAATTTTAATCACAAAAATTTTTAATGGAGTGAAAAAGCTACTTTGGAATTTCTTAATACTAGATTTATAAAATTGAAATTTTGGGTTGTTACACTTAGATTGCGGCCTGTGTGCCTTAGACAGTTGTTTTGTTATGATGAATTTGTAGACTTAGCATGTGCACTCGTAGTCTTATAGGTGTGGCATAGCACTTTCCCGAATTATGCTAGCTTCCGCTTTTCTTATGTTTGATGTTTAGATTGTTAATATTTTAAATTAAATTTTAATTTGTTGGTAAAATTCGGGGGTGTTACAGTTATCCTCAAAGGTAAGGAGCCGCGGAGATATTGTTCTCAACGTTGCTTCAAGCGGAATAACATCTTTGCTCTTGCCTGGAGGCAGGACAACGCATTCTAGATTTGCTATACCACTCTCATTGAATGAAGATTCAATGTGCAATATAACGCAAGGCAATGACCTTGATGAGCTTATAATAAGGAGTAAATGGATAATATGGGATGAAGTACCAATGACGCACAAACACTGTTTTGAGGATTTGGACAAAACCATGAGGGATCTATTGAGGTTCGCCATATCGGGTAGTGCTGAAAAGACATTTGGTGGAAAGACAGTAGTTTTGGGAGGTGATTTTAGGCAGATTCTTCCAGTTATTCCGAAAGCAACGAGACCAGTAGTTGTCGGAGTAACTATTAATTCGGTCCTTAATCACGGAAAATTGTATGTGGCTTTCTCCCGAGGCACCAATCCTGATGGCCTAAAGGTGTTATCTCTAGATGATGATGGACATGATTGTGTTGTGACTACCAATGTTGTTTACAAAGAGATTTCAATAATGTGTCAATACAATCGATGATATTATGTACTGTATTTAATTTATTTTTCCTAAACTGATATAATTATTATATCTAGAGAAAAAAATATATCCTCTATACAAATGAATTAAAATAACAATTGATTACTATAACTAAGTTGTTACAGAACGAGAGCATTTGACCAATTTATAAAAATCATAAACAATGATATATAAAATCTCTAAAGTTACAACACTGTATGCGTACATCTAGACATTAGCTATTAATTTGAGTAATTATTTGCTCGAATTCAAGCAATAATAACATCAACAAACATAAACAACCCAACCCATATTTTCAATTACACTATATAATATTTTATGTTATAATTTAAATAATTAAATATTGATCCAAATATTCTTAATATATTATAACAAAATCATTCCGTGCATCGCACGAGTGAAAATACTAGTAATTATAATAAAAAGTTGTAAATAAATAATTTTTAACTTATAATATATTATAATAAAAATAATAATACTGCTAGATACCCCTCTTATTTTTACCTCTAAATTCATTTCTCATGATGTGTCATTAGTTAATTGGTTACTAATTTTATTTTTAAAATGCACCCAATGAGTGGAAGCCACATCATGAGAGGTAAAAAGCAATTTCCTAAAAATAAATACATAAATTGATTAATATAATAATTTTGAGAATACAATTTTTTTTTTTTACAGTCGTTATATCGTGCACCAGGGCGCACAATGCATTGGGCGCCCACCCTGCCCAAAACAATGTCGTTTTGTTAAGTTGTGTGTGGAGAAGTTGACACGACGGAGTTTATGTGTATACTGGTATACAAGTATGTACATTCTGTTATACAATTATGTACATTCAAAATAGTGGATTTTTTTAAAAGTTAAGAGTTTATGTGTATTATGTATTATGTTAAATTATGTGTATTATCCTTTCAAAAAAGATGATATGTATTATGTTAGGAGTTTATGTACATTATATTATACAATTATGTAAATTCGAAACATGAGTTTTTTTTTAGAAATTAAGAGCAGACACAGAAAATAAAATTTTCAAAAAAAAAAAAAAAAAAAAACAGGTACAAAACGATGTCGTTTAAATTGGGTTGGGACGGGTCTAAATTTTATTGTATCAGGCTCAAGTTTTTTTTTAGAAGTTAAGAGCAGACACAGAAAATAGAATTTAAAAAAAAAAAAAAAAAAAAAAAGGTACAGAACGATGTCGTTTAAATTGGGTTGGGACGGGTCTAAATTTTATTGTATCAGGCTCAACTCACATTTAATACGAAGTATGAATTTGATAAAAGTAATAATTATGAAATCTGAACTAGAGAAATTGAAGACAAAGTTTAAATTTTCATTTACTTTTTGGGGTTGTGGGCCGGACAATATTTTTATTGTTTGCTACGGCCTAATGTAATTCATATTTTAATTGGCAAGTGATAAATGTAATAAGTCTAAGGAAATTAAAGGAAAAAAAAGACTTAGATGTTTTTTTAATCTTTTGGATTATAGACTTGGATGGGTTAGACTAAGATTTTTATTGATTTCCCTAGTTTGATCAAACTCATATTTTAACCGGTCTAGTCCAATCCAGTTCAAATAATAACCATACAAATGGTAAGTCAACTTGCCCATTTGACACCACTTAGAGGGAGCGAACGAGAATTGAGCATGATATAGAATTCTGGAAAATATCTTCAAGTAAAAATCTTGGAAGACATTTTATCCCAAAATTGGTCATTCTAGAATAAGTATTCCTTGGTGACTTCATTTTCCACTAGTAGCTAAACATTAGGAAATTAGAAAAATGACTTTCAAAAGTCATTCTTCTCATTTCCAAATAGACCGTTAATCTCTCAATTATTTGCAATGTAAGTATAGATTTAATATCTCAAATATTTGTTTAACCAAAAAATATATATATATCTCAATTATTTGCAATGTATAACTATAGTCCCTAACTTCTAGATAAAAATAGCAAATTTGGTCCCAAAACTTCAATGAAACCTTAATTTAAGAGATTAACTTTGTCACTTCACTATAAATTTAGAAACTAAATTTTACAGTATTAATACTGAAAATCTAATTTAGAGTCACAAATAAGGAACTAAAAGTGTTATTTTCTCATATTCTATTTATAAAGATGATACCCCTCCTTTTTATTTATAGTAATCATTACTCTTAACATTCAAGATTATGTTGATTTGCACTCTTCTTCACTAATAACTTCTAATATGAACTTAAATTGTAACTATCTTAAATGAAGTCTCACTATTCCAATAGGAGAAACAAAATTAATGAGGGTTCACTATGGCCCTATTTGGTAACTTTTAATACCAACTTAAATTGTAAATATTTTAAATGAATGTTTGATTAATTAATTTTTTTTTTAACAATTTATTGCTTCAAAATGCTAAAATTCAAAAAACTGCTCAAAGTAATTTTTTCGATCAACGTTTTGATAACATCATTTTGCATGTAATCAGCTATCAACTAACAATTAATTTACCAAACACTTTTCTACAATCAACTAATCCTATCAATTAGTCACAAACTCACTAACCCAATCAGCTAACAGCTGTTTACCAAATATGGCTAGAGGAAAAAAAAAAAAAAAAAAAAAAAAAAAAAGACCCCTACAATCAATCACACAAGACTCATTCATTATAAAAACATCACATAAAAATTTTCTGGCACACATAAGGGCAAAAACAGCAATGCCCATATGAAATGATTTTAAGACAAGACTCAAAAAAGCACTGTCAAGAATTGATTCAGCTACAAAATGGAATTCTTACAGAAAAACTCTCAAGTGTTACCACTTGAAAATGCATTGAGGAATGCTGACATGTATGTTTAGACTTCATCATGGAGAAACTAATCTCAAACCATGATCGGAAGGAACATATATAAACATTAAGCGATCAGATCAGGCCGTGCCATTCTCAGTCACCGGCACCTCCTTAGATTTCTCGCTCGTATCCAACTGGCTGAAGTTCCCCTTTTCCTTGAACTGAGTGTGGTGGTGCCTGCAATACAGCTTATGCTCGTGTGCTACATAATTTGATGGACTGATCACACAGCCGCCGTGACTGCACTTGAAGCAAGCCCTGTGGTACGATGTTCCATCAACTGCTACCTATAGAAACAACATCCAATGTGAATTAGGATCTTCGATAGAAATCGGTTCATGTACCAATACGTTTCTGCTCCATTTGGCACACACAAGAATCAGGTAGGAAAGGGGTAACCCCACCCTTGCCAAGACGGTTAAGAATATACACTTGTAATCACGAGTTCGAATCCCAGCCTTCTTGGTTTGAACGTTGGCTGGGGCCACAAGGCGGGGTTTACCCAGTGCAGCACACCCTCAGGTAGTGGCTGCGGGTTTCCCTCGTCACCCCAAAAAAAGAGGAATGGAGGATCCATTCTTTTTGTGATCTTAAACCAACTTTTCTTTTCCAGCTTAATAACATTTAGCAATATCTTACCTTTTCAATGGGGTAAACAGTTTTCTTGCAAGCAACGCATTTATCTTGAGTTCCCGCAAACAGGCTTGAAACTTTGCTGCTTGTGTCCCCTGTCCGATTTAGCTCATGATAAGTAATAACAGAAATTTGATCAAAACAACACAACAAATTGTGCAAAAACAAAAATATCGCTGTGCCTTAACCATCTAGAAACCAGATGTTAGTACCTGATCTGCAGCTCTTTCCCTCACCGTTTTTGGAGCCCCTGCACAAGGTGGTGAAAGGGATAGAATAAGCTTTGAGGTACGAACAAGACTTATTATAGGTGAAAATGGAACTCGATAATTGCTTTTACCTTCAAAACTCTTATCCAAGCTACCAGTCATTTTGAAAAGTTGATCAAAGTGTGGTTTGCATTATAAAACTCCTTCGAAGGAGTTGTAATTGCTGAGCTGCAAAGAATAAGATCAGGAAACAAATATCTATTAAGCTTATTTGATCATATCTTTGATGGAGATCATTAAATCCCGTGATTGACTGACAGTGAGTTTGGACGGGTAATATCCAACTGAAAGGAGGAAAACGCTAACGATAGACACAGCATGTGTGCGATTGCAGGCACGAGTAGACAAATAGCATTACTAGCCTAGTAGGTGCAACATGAAGGGGAAACAAGCGATTTTAATGCAAAGACACCAGAAACAATTAATCAAGCCAATTAAATCTGATGAGTCCAAAGCTTAAAGGCCCCACAATCACAACAGCAGAGACAAGTTATGTACAAAAGAAGGTCCATGTGGTGGAAAATAATCTGTCAGAGAAATGAATTGGCAGTATACAAGCTTCAATTATAACAGCACAAATTCTTCACTCTACCCTTTTTTCTCCCTGTTCTTTTTTGGCTACTAACAAAAGTTACCTATAAAGCGGGCATCTATTAAATACATAAAGCAATAAAATATTTCTATTCATGTGCTTCATATTGCAATATTAGACACAAACTTGGCAACCACAGAAATACATTAGCCCTAATTTACTCGGCAGCATCCCTCACATTATCTATATGAATTTCTGAACTATAATGAGGATTTAAGACAAAAATTTATGAGATGTTCGAGGGAAGCCAGCATGTAATAATAGCAAGATTCATGGTTGAAAATTTTAAACCTGTACAGAATTGTGTAAATGTTAAATCTTCTTTGCTCAATATCTAAATCAGTGCAAGTATGCAACACCTCCAGAGTCAAATTTCGTCATCTACAACTCATACAAAGTGAAGCCCGACAGCTGGAAAAACAGCAATAGATCGCAGAACAATAAAGTCCAAACGGATTGAGCACAAGGATTAATTACTCAAACAAGGAAGAAACTTTCAGAGACTCAACAAAGAACAACAAAATCCACTGTTAATTCCCTTTAAAGCAAGAAGCTAGGCTCCATTTGGTATATGGGAAACATGCAGGAATCAAATCATAAATCCATTCCAATTTCTGATTTTTTACCTTCATTGGGTAAGTTGTGTTTCCTTAGGAAAAAACAATCAAAAAAATCCCATATTTTCTTCTGATCAGATTATTAACCGGAATGAAATAATATTAAATCCCCTGACCCATAACATTCCAAGAAAAGCAAAACCAATCTCCCAAACAATCAGATCACTAAAGGAGGAGAGCTAAAACAGTGCAAAAATGGCAAGAAATCCAATTCTTGCATAAACACACAACAAATCCAAACACATGTCTGTACAAAGTAACTAAATCAAGCAACACAATCAACTCTTAAACAGTGAAGTAAAACATCACATCCACTGAAAAAGTAACAAGAAGAAGTGTGAAAATGATGAAACTAACCAGTAATCATTGCATCTCAAGCATCTCCACCTAAACTTTCAGAGGCCTTAAACCATTACAATAATGTTTTCATGGTGTAGAAGAATACTTTTAATTGAATAAAAGTGTGTTGCACAACAATCTTCACCAGAATGACAATAATCTCTTTTATAAACTTTTGAAATGGCCTTCAGAGCAGAATGACAATCCTCACAAGTTTAAACAATTTCCTACTTTGTCTTATTACTAATTTTGGGCCTAGAAAATAAAAAATAAAAAAAATCACATGTAGCATGGAAATTCACTGGTTCCAATTCCTCGCCTCTGAGGCTACCGCTGGATTCTACATGTTCAACAACAAAGTTATTCTTCCTGCAATCTATACTCCATGTTTTCTGTTATGTGTTTCTCTGAAATGTGTTAAACAAAACTAGTTGTACAACCCTGCGAATATCATCAACTTTTCTTCCATTCTTTAGCACATGAGAGAGAGAGTTTAAGCCCCTCTGCACCATTATTTGGCACCCAAAGGCAATGAAACACAAGGGGCAACAGATTGATGGAGGAGCACCCAAATATCCTCCTCCATCAATCTGTTGTCCCTTGTGCTTCACTGCCTTTGGGTGTGCAAATAATGGTGGAGAGAGAGCTTAGGCTCTCTCTCTCATATGCAGAAGCACAAAGAAAGAATGGAAGAAAAGTTGATGATGTGTACAACTAGCTTTGTTTAACACATTTCAGAGAAACACAAACACAGAACAAAAAACATGGTGGATAGTTCGGAGGAAGAGTAGCTTTGTTCTTGAACACATACAATCCATCATCGAGCGGTAAGGAATTTGAACCGGTGAATTTTCATGCGGCGGCGTCAGAGGCGGTGATCGGAACCAGTGATTTTTTTTTTAATTTCAAATGTTTTAAAATTAAATTTTGAATTTTGTTTTTTAACTTTGCTTATGTAGAGATATTAATAAGTTATACGGAGTAATAAATAGAGAGAGGTGGCGTGGCGTGACGAACCGGGTAGCAGAAGTGGACTCCTCGCGGTGGTTCAAGTTCAATTCGTCGCCGGGAGCCGACACGCTCGTCGCCGGAAGGGCTCCTTCATCTTCGCGGTTCAAGTTCTGAACAATTACCTGGATTCGTCGCCGGAAGGGCTCCTTCATCTGCAACTTCTGAATCACCTGTGAAAACAACAACGATTTAGACATATGAAGTTCCAGATGTTAGAGGAAGTCAAACAAGTAAAAGTTTAGAATGCCTGTTTCATGAACAAGAGGTAAATATATCATTTTTTTCTTTGTTCTTTTATGTAAACTGTTTCAGGTTATATAATTAAAGCTAAGGTTAATCATATATGAATCTGATGATCAGGATGGACAGCTTTTTCACTGTAGCACTGTTATGAATGTTATTGGTTTTGAAATGCTGCTACTTATAGCACCATTATTTTGGTGATAAGATATGATTTTAAACTCTTTGAACTGCAACTTCTATATAATGTTATAGAATTACATCTTCTTTTTTTGTACTTTTGTCTTCTTTTTTTTTTGATACTTTTTGCAGGATTAATTCTGTACATCCATTAGGCATGAGAAGTTCGGAGTTGATTGTTAATTATTCCTCTGTATAGTATACTAATGTAATGTTTATGTTTCGAAAAATCATATCAACATTCCTTATTACCTAAAGCTAAGAAGGATGCTGGAGTGTACTATTTGTAATTACATCTAAGGCTGGATTTAGTGACAATGTATGTACTTATAATTCAGTATTAGGTAGTATTTCAGCATATGATTGAATATCTACTTTAAGCAACTGAAATTTGCCTTAAAAAACGATTTAGACACAAAAAATACTTACTGTTTCCTTTTAGTTTTTCATTATTTTTTCTCACTACTTGAGATATTAAAATTCTACTTAAGAGATAATTCTACTTTAGAGGACACAGGATTACCCTCTAAACTAAAAATTAAACTTATTTCCAGTAGTGAAAAACTAAAAAGAAAGTCATCTCATTTTGTCTTTTAAGTTTTTTTTTTTTTTTTTTTTTTTTTGTCTAAAAGACCAGTAAGTAATTTTTTTGTCTTACTGTGTTTTTAGAGGAAAAAAAAAAAAAAAAAAAAACTTAGACAAAAATCAATTCATTTGCATGAATGAGATGACTTTTCTTTCATTTTTTACTACTTGAAATATTAAAATTAAAATTATAAATAAATAGTAAGATGAGAAGTCATTTTTTTTACTGAAACAGAAATTACTCTGAAAAACCATGATTGCCTACTGTTTTGAAATCACTGCCAAAATCTGAGGGCAATTTTGAAAAAGAAAATTAAAAGTTGAAGCTAACAGGTCAGATATTTCATATGAAGAGTTAAAATTTTAAACAAAACAGTATTTAAATCATTCATACATGATCAACTATAAAACAGAAGGCAATAATACTATAGTTGCAAACAATAGGTGAGATATTTCATATGAACAGTTCAAAATTTAGCTGACATCGTTAATTACTAAAAAAATGTTCAATTTTTTTTTCGGAAATTTCGTCTACAATTTTTTGAAAAACCCTAATTCAAATACCCGAATAAACCGACAATAATTTCTAAATCCAACAAATACAAAAACATTTAGAGAAATCTATAGTAAATAAAGAGTAAACCGAGTGAATCAACTAAAGGGATAGGTTCACTTATCTCTGCTTCCTCAAATCGATGGTGCGATTTACGTCAATAGGGAATTTTATGAACTGAAGACGACGATCACTACTACAAAATTCCAGATCCGAGCCCTTAATCCACAGAAATTACGAACAACGAAGTACGAAACCTAGACTTCTGAAATAAACCTAAACAATAGTAGTAGGATTTAGGGTTCATGGCAGATTGGAAGACGGAGATAGGGAGAATCGGGACTGAGGTGAGAGAGAATCGGTGAGCGGATAGAGAAGGTTTGAGGCGATAGAATGCGAAAAGTCGGCTAAGGTATAGTTTCGGGTTTTTTTTGGATTTTATATTTCTTTAATTGGGTCGGGTGGTTGGGCTTGGATCGGGTTATTGGGCTGTTTTTTAAATATTATAAAACCACAAAATATAACAATATAAATAACATATATAATCAGGGTAACTAATCTATCTATATATATATATATATATAAAAGTAAAATCCTCCTAACAAATTTCCCCCCCAAAACTTTTGTATTATTATACTTTCCTTTTGAATTAGTATTTTCTACCTATAAATACAAGGGCTTCTTCAATCAAAGAATCTCAGACTCATCTCTCTACTTTCTTTTTGTATGAATTTTTTACATTTTTCTAACTATATTCTCACGTACTTCAATATGTATTGCAGTTTATGAACAATATTGGTTTAGTTTTTATGGAAGATTGTAGAGATGCGATCGAGGATGATAAAGACGATAATTTTGATGATTTTCTGAAACTTAGAGTTAGTATGTTAATTTCGAGATTTGTACATGCCATTCAAGTTTCTATGTTTTTTTTAACAAGCATAGTTCATTTTACAGCATTTTTTATAATTAATTAATATATATATATATATATATATATATATATATATATATATATATATATATATATATATATATATATATATATATATATATCCATAGTATAATATAATATAATATAATAATAATAATGTTATTGGTTAAATTTAATTATGGTGAATATTTAATTTTAATTATGACCATTAACATTCAATATATTAGGCATAATTAGACATGCCTAATTTTAATTGTTTGAGGATGACAACTTAAAAGAGTGCGGATCATAAATATATGTGTATTAATTTTTTTTTCATGCTTATATTCACTATCATTATATTTTTAAGATTCATATATATATATATATATATATATATATATATATATATATATATATATATATATATATTAATACTGTATTTTTTTTCCTGAATAATTTTAGACTTAGTTTGTTGATGTATCAATAACATTGTTCAATCTCTGTGAATAAGGATTATTCCTTTGTTGTGTAGTACCATACAGAATTTACTATACAATCATGTAAATGAAAATTAAAAGTTTCATATTTAGTTCTTATTAATATACATACAATTGCATATATTGAAAAAGTAGTATATAAATTTAATAAAGTATATTTTATTGGTAGTTTTATTTTTAAAAAAATGCAATATTTCACAACTATTTCAGGTAAGCACTTTAGCAAGTTGTTTGTATATTATATTTATTAATTACTTTATTTTTTTTTTTTATTTTGTGAATATATTTCATGCATGAAAATTGAATTGTAGATGTATCATATCCAATTCTTTATCATAATATTCTTTTTTATTTTATTGTGATGAAGATTGTATTTATGAGTTTTGACATGGGATGGATTAACAACTATCATATTCTTTTTAATTTAATTGTGATGAAGACTATACATATGAGTCATGAGTTTAGACATTGGACAAATTAACATAGATGTTAGTAAAGGATGTGGCAACACCTAACTTGCACAATTAATATATAGATTAATTAGTCTTGGTGTAATCAGAATTACTGATAAATGAGAATATAGATTTTCTTTTGTTGTTTACTAAGATGTTTGTAATAATTTGTTATTTTAAAACAGTATATTAAAAGTTTATTATTTTAGCTAATTACCCATTTTAAATATCAAATCTTATTTAATTAATAGTATGTTTTTGGAAATCAATAAAATAATAGTATTTTTTTTTTCAATTGTAATATCGCAATGTTTCCTATATAGTTATTACACAACAAAACTTTAAAATGAATAAAGGTTACATATCGTATTTACACATGAAACTTATTTACAATAATAGTTGTTAGTATCATAAAATCACTTCAACATAGAAATATTAAAAAAAATTGTTATTAATAATTAATTAATTAATATGTATTTAAAAGAATCATTGACTGAGAATAAAAATGTCATGAAAAGTAGATCAATTTGAAAAGGAAATGATAATTAATACTTGATTAAAATTGACACAGAATATATTACTGGAAATAAAAATATATATAAATATGTTATTAATAATTAACTAATTAATATGTATTAAAAAATCATTGACTTAGAATAAAAATGGCATGCAAATTAGACCAATTGAAAAAGAAAACGATAATTAATATTTGATTAAAATGACATAAAATATATAAATTCTAAATATATATCGACAATTATATTAATAATTATAGTATAAATTAATTGATATGTATCAAGACTATGTGGTCTAATGGTATCTGGGTTGGATTTCCATTTGGAAGGTTGTAAGTTCGAGCCTTAATGGAGGTGTTATTGGTTCTTTGTGTTTCAGTAAGTTGAGAAAGTATAAAATAATTGACTAAGATTAAAAATGACATGAAATATACAAATTATGATATATTTTTAAAAAAAGATCTCCAAATTAACAATGTCGAAAATGAAACGGATTAACAATAGTATATGTAAAATGGAATGACATGAAAATTAGGTCAATTGGAAAAGGAAATGATAATTAATACTTGATTAAAATGGATTACAATATATTACTGGAAATAAAGAAATATGTTATTAATAAATAACTAATTAATATGCAATAAAAAAGAATCATTGATTGAAAATAAAAATGAAATGAAAATTACTGCAATTAGAAAATAAAATAATAATTAATATTTGATTGAAAATGACATGAAATATATAAATTCAAAATATATATCGACAATTATATTAATATTTACAGTATAAACTAATTGATTTAAAACAATATTTGACTAAGAATAGAAATGACATGAAAATTAGCACAATTGGAAAATGTAATGATTATTAATACTTAATTAAAAATTAAAAATAATTTCAAATTAACTCAAATGACAAAGAAAAATAGCTAGACACCCCAAATAATAGTATAGGTAAATTGAAAAAATAATTCACTGTGATTAAAAATGCCACAAAATACATAAATTATGGTATAATATATATTTAAGAAAAAAAACGATCCACATATTAACTATGTAGGAAAGGAAACGGATTAACTATTGTATATGTAAATTGGAAAAAAGTATCTGTTATTAATAATTTACTGGAAATAAAAAACATTATATTAATAATTATCTAATATAATTAATATATATTAAAAAGAATTATTCGTTGGTAATAAAAATGACATGAAAATTAAGCTAATTAAAAAA